TGCACATGTTGTCAGGAGGGACCGATTCCTGGGAAAAGAATCATGCGGCAAAAGGTAGGTGGTCAGAAAATGAGAGGAAGACCTTGAACAAGATGGATTAGCATAGTGACTGTAACAATTGGTTCAAGACTGTAGTGGATGGTACAGGATAGGACAAGGTTCCAATCTATTGTTCTTAGGGTCACTATATGATAAAGTTGATCCAAAACAAAACACATAACAACAACTAGAAATCTACCTTCCCTGGGACAAATTTTAAATGGTTTGTGAATTGTATTGAATAAGAAATAAGGTTATAGTTAGGAGCCTTCATGTTGAGTCCAACTCTTGACCTGATTTATAACAGAACACGACCATTCATTCACAGCTGCTGTTGTGCTTGAGGCATTGATGTAGTCACTGTCTCAGTACAATTTATTGAGGGTCTTATTGTTTTTTTTTCACCACCATCTACTATATCACTTGGAAGGAGGAGTGGCATCCACTTCCATAATAGCTTGTCTCCAGAAACCCTATGAACCTGTAGAGAGGATGAAAGGCACCCAAGCGTCAAGGACTCTCCTTCATAGGGTCACTATGAAGTCGCTATGCAACTCGACAGCACTTAACAACAACAACAAAAACAACAACAACTACTACTATATCACACCTGATTTTTTTTTTCCTCCCAGGACAGGCCTTGCCTGATATTATGCTCCAACTACAAGGTGAAGCCTCACGATGATTGGTTTTAAGGAACATTTCGGCTACATTTCTTCCACGATTGGTTAGTTCTTGTCGCAGTCCAGTATATTCCGCATTCTCTGACAGTATCACAATTCAAGGGCATCAATTGTTTGTTCTTCCTTACTTATTACCTAACTTTGCCTTGCAAGGGATCTCCTTGTTCTTTATTACTTTAAACAGATTTGCTGCTTCAGGAGCACAGTAGAGCATTGTGATGAGCCAGAATGAATTTGACAGCAGTGGACTTATTTTACTTCTCGTCCTTATTTATAACTTTAACATGGTTCTTATTTCATAATTTCAAAAACACTCTCTTACCTATATTCTTTTCTCCTCCCTGAACAATGCTAAGTCTTTGTATCAGATGTCTCCAATTCACACTCCAAACCTAAAATTCAGGAGTTCTGGTTTCTTGGGCAGGTTTAAACTTGTTGTGTTCCTATATTTTGAGGATAAAACCATCTACAGAGTTACAGAAACACTGAAATAATTTATCAGTACCTACATGTTAGACACTAGTGATACAATTACTCTCTCTATTTAGAAAAAAAAATTAAGGAAATGTATTTAACTTTTTATTAACTTGCTTTATCTGATTAATTGGGTAAAAATTGTTAAACTGTGACTCAACTCAGTCAAATTACATATACAACCAAATCTGGTATTAGAGAATCAAACCACTAAATCTATATAGAACCACTTACTTTACAAATTAAAGGGAACCTAAACACAAGGCAAAGCTACTGGTAAAAGGGCATCACCAGTGCCCAGGAGTGTGTCAGCTTGTTGTTCTCTAGGAATCATCAAAGCTCCAGGGAGTCATTGAAGCCAAAATTGTGATCTCCCTACCTTGTCCTTCAAATGGTGTATAAGCTAAGCACATTTTCTGTGCATCTGGAGGCTTTGTTATAGACAGAAGGTTCCCTCTTCATGAGACTGCTGTTTAGAGTCTAACTTTTTTAAAGAGGAATTTGGAAAACTTCCCAGACACTGCATCTGCCCCTAGCCCCTGCACCTCAGAGTCTAATGCCGGCAAGGGAGACAGCAAAGACTACTAAATTTATTAACAGTGGACGGGCCATTCTATCTTTCACTGCAACAACAGTAGGAGATCCCATCAAAAATCTGTCTGCTGGCTATCTAGCAAATCTAAACTGACATCTTTACCTTAGATATATCCAGCAGATTGAAACCAATTTTATTTTCTCAAAGAATGCAAACCAATATAAATAAAAATTAAAAAACAAAAAAAAACCCTCACAATGTATGGGAATGATAATGCGAAACACAGCGCACATGGAAAAATGCACGAAACACACTGTATATAAACAAAACACACACACGAAAGGAAACACACCAAAGCTAATACTTGCTTCCAGTCATTTCTGTTTCCATTTGGAAAAAGAAATATCTTTCCCCCCTCCTATATTCTTTTTATCTCTATATTTTTTGCATGTAATTCAAGACTATTAAGTAGGCATTGAACATTTTAGGGAAGTTAAGTGGTCAAATTAGCCAATATTCGGTGATGATTTTGAAGTAATGCATTGGGCACATAGTTAAGCTTACATTAATCTCAATATAACTCAGCCAGCGCATAATCATGATTCATTACCAATATATATAAACAGCCAGCCTCACTCAAAAGCAAACTCTTCAATATTTTAGGCAAAAACAAGACAATGATATTTGAGCTGTATTTTATAGTGCACACTCCATTGTCTCATCCTCAATACATTAAATATATTGTTATGTGCCATCAAGTCGACTATGACTCATAGCGACCTGATGAACAACTAATGTGAGCCTTGTTTTGTGCTTGGCTTTCCACACGATCTCTGTCCTGCTTAAGCCCGCTTGGACAGCCACTCTGTCAATCTATCTTGTTGAAGGTCTTCCTTTTATTGATCCTCTTCATTTCCAAGCATGATGTCTCTTGCCAAGGAAGGAATAGCGATTTGCTACAAATGTACCTCACTGATTACATTAACATTTATATGAGGTTAAAGACTAATGCATATTTTATATTTAAAAGTTAAAATTTTTGAAGTAGTTCCAGTTTTCTGTATCTATACTGAAACAATGCTTTCTAAAAACTGTAATTCATAGAGGAAAATACAATCCATAATGTTGTAGTTTCAATACCTGACATTATTGGAATATCATTACTGATGTCGGGTCATGGCTAAAAGTTGAGAGTATCAGATAAAATTTCTCTGTGTTTTATCAACTATGAAAGGGGATTTGACTGTGTGGATCACAACAAACTGTGGCTAACATTGAGAAGAATGAGAATCCCAGGACTAAGAGCAAGAAGATGTCTGAAAAGAAGATGAGAACATTGAAAGGATATATCCTTTCTCTATACCTTTTCAATCTGTATGCAGAATAGCTCATTCATGAGGCTAGACTTTATAAAGCCCAATGTGGCATCAGGATTGAAGAAAGACTCATCAACATCTTGTGTTATGCACTGAAACTGATAAGGACTTGAAACATTTGCAACTGAAAGTCAAAGATAATAGCCTTTATTTGGATTGAATCTCAACATCAAGAAAACAAAGTTCCTCATCACTGGGCCAATAAGCAATATCATGATTGATGGAGAAAAGACTGAGATTGTTGATGGTTTCACCTTGTTTGGATTCACAATCAACACTCTCAGCACCAGTGGTCAGGAAAAAATCTGCTGTAAAGGACCTATCTGAATGCTAAAGAGCAATCATGTCAGTCAGGAGATGAAGGTGTGCCTGATCCAGGCCACTGTCTTCTCAATAGTGTACTATGCATCAGAGAGCTGGTGATCCAGTCTCACTAACACCAACACATCAACCCTCTTGATCCAGTTACTGTATCAATCCTTCTCGTCCAGGGTCTCCCTCTCCTGCACTGTCCATCCACCCTTCCAATAAAGATGTCCTTCTCCAAGGACCAATCTCTCTGGCTACGTGCTCAAAGTAAGTGAGGCAGAACTTCAAAATCTTAGCCTCCAAGGAGATAATTTTTTTCACCCTCTCCAAGACAGACCAATTTGTTTTCTTGGCAGTCTATGGTATGCTCAAGACTCTTCAGCACCACAACTCAAAAGCATCTATTCTTCTTCTGTCATCCTTACTCATTGTGAAACTCTTTGAAGCATAGCAAGTAATTGAGAAGACTACGGCCTGAATAAGGCACACCTTTGTATCTAGACTGACATTGTTGCTCTTCAGCACTCTGGAGAGGTCCCTGACAGCAGATTTTTCCCAATGCAATTCATGGGGGACCAGTTTTTTGGAGGCCATCACACTTGAAGAATAGAAGGTCAGTGCATAAGAAGAAGACCCTGGATGAAATGGATAGACATAGTGATTGTGGCAATGGGATCGGATGTATCAGAAGTGATGAGGTTGGCCCAGGATGAGGTTCACAGCCATTGTTCATACAGTCACTATGGGTCATAGTCTACTCGGTGACACATATCAGCAGCAGGATTAGGATGAGTTTACTGAGGCAAAGTTGTGTAAGTGTAGAATTTGAATTTATCTTGTAAAAAAATCTTGATTTTTTTTTCCATATTGCTTTTCTGGCACTGATTTTAGTATTGTAACTTACTGTATTTCTTACATATTACTTACCTTAATTATTTAGTTTTCTGGTGCTTCTAAAATTTTGTGCTTAAGGCAATTGCTTCACTTATCCCACTGTAGTCCACACCCCATATATTTTCCTTGAAATTAGTTTTACCAACATGCTTTAAATATTATTATTAAATATTATTTTATTATTCTTTAATTCTTATATTATTAAATAATGCAAATATTATTAATATTTTTATAATTCTACACTCTAAAAATATGCCAAATAAGTATCCAATTGTTTGGTAAAGCATTAGGGTTTTTTTCTCTCACACAATTACTCTTAAAAACTTTGTTAACTTGATCAGCACTGAGAATCTTCAATATTATGCATTTTGCAAAAACGTTTACCCATAAATCAGTTATTCCCAAAGCAGCGATAAACATTCTGAGGATGTTTTGTCAAATAATGTTCTATAGCCATTTTGAGTCTATTCTTTGATCCAATATGATTTTCGTAACATAGCTTTTCTTTTTCTTTTCTCCACTTACCCCATGTTTGCACTAACACACTTAAGACTTTGGTTACATAGACACAATTGAGTTAAATTTATTAAAAAATGGTTCCTTAATATTTCTATAAACAAGCACAATAGGAGTTCATTATAAGGGGTATAAAAATTATAGGAAGTGTCATGAGGTTTGGTGCTTACTTACCAGTAAAGTCTGTATTGGCTGGCAGGGTTGAGCTGGGAAATCTGCAATATCCATTCCCAACAAAATGAATTCCTTTCACCATCACAGCCAGAGGTGCTGCTAGAGATGTCTCTCTCCTTTCCAGCTGATATACAGGAGCAGGTCCATTCAGTTCTTCAGGTGGTAACCACCTAACATGAATGGTTGTGCTATTGATGGCTTCCACGTGAGGAGAACTCAGCTGGACTGGTGCTAAATATTAGAAAACATTTGCTGTAGTCAATAATTTGTTTCCTAATAGGAGACACAGACATCACAACATACATGTAAAGATAAAAGGAGTTATTCTGGTTTTTTTTTTGTTGTTATTTGGTGATTTGTATCATTATTTGTTCATTTTAAAACTTCCTTGTTGAGTTGATAATGACTCCATGTATATCAGAAGAGAACTGTGGTTTTCAGTAGCTTATTTTTGGAAGGAGATGATTAGACCTTTCTTCTGAGGAATCATTGAGTACATCAAAACCTCCATCATACTGACATATTAATTAGCAGGAGTGCATATTAACTATTTATGTTAACTACCCAAGGAGTGTAAATTAAACATAAAATTATATTTTCACCCTCAAATCAGTACGGTCTCGTGTTTATATGGTTCCTGGAAGTGGAAATAGGATAATGCACTTATTTTGATTGTGACCAAGTCTGATTTAAATCAATATTTCCATTCTGCCTCCTAAGGTTGCCAAGAGAATTATTAACTCATCAGCACCCAACAATAAATACTTGAAACAAAAATGATTTTTAAAACTCAAATAGTTTGTTTCTTCTTTCTTACTAAAGAATAGATTTTTCTGTAAGTTCTAATATTTTCATATTTTTATTGAGATTTTAATGAAAGAGTATAGAGAACTTGGATTTCCATTCATTTTTTTTGTTGCACATTTTCTTCCCTGTCTACCCCTCCCCCAATTCACATTTCTCTTTGAAAAGGAAAAAAACATTCTTTCATTGTTATACCATGCCCTCCCCACCCCCACCCCACCCTGCCTCAGGACACTTTACTATGCAGCTCTTATTCTGGACTCTTGTCATACAAATAATACCTAATCAAATATCACTTTTAAACAGTTCTCTCCCTTATCTGTTTGAATGTGTGTACATTCATTATCGTCTCTTTTCTTAATTTCCCCTACATACAGGCAAGATTGTGGAGAACCTGAAACCCTTATTCACTGTTGGTAGGAGTATAAAATGATGCAACCACTGTGGAAGACAATATGGTGCCTTCTCAAAAAGGTGGAAATAAGAATACCATTTGACCCAGCAATTCCACTACTGGGAATATACCCTAAAGGAATCAGAATTGCCACCCAAGCAGATATATGCACACCCATGTTTATTGCTGCTTTGTTCACAATAACAAAGAGTTGGAAACAACCCAAGTGCCCATAAACAAATGAATGGATAGAGAAGCTGTGGTATGTTCACATAATTGAATACTATGCAACATTGAAAACCAAGAAACTTATGAAATAATATACTAAATGGGTAACCCTGGAGGACATTATGCTGAGTGAAATATCTTACTCACAAAAGGACAAGTACTGCATAGTGCCACTGTTGTAAAACAGGACTGACATCGGGTTTGGGGGAAAACTAACAATAGATTTTATATACTATATTAGCTGCTGATGGTGCCTGATCCATATTCTTTTAACCCAGCTAGTACATCCATACCCCAGATTCTTGCTGGCCTCCTCTTGGCTGGGGAGACTGTGCTTTACCCAAGAGCAGCAGGATCACCAGGGGAAACCTGTAAACAAGAAGGGACACCCCCTTTTTTTTGCATGCCATCAACCTTAAAGCACAATGCACAGAGGTCAACTAGGCAATGAAATGAGTAGTTGAGGATATAAGAGAGAATGATGAATTAGAAATAATTTGGCAAGGTCAGCTGTCACTAATGGTCTAGCCAATAAGTAATGCAAGAATTATGACTCAAGATTGTCAAATTTTTATTGTTTGGTGTTTGCTTTTTGTGTTGTGGTTTTTGTTGTTGTTGTTATTGTTTTTATTAATTTAAGTCTCTTGTGTAGAATTAACAAAACCTCTAGGAGGGCTTTTGCATTTAAAATTGGTTGTTATTATATTTTGGAGGAACATTCATCTAAGTGGTACAGCACTCTTCTGTCAATATGCTGTACTGAGGTAACATGGGTTTTCTGTGATGCTGAACCTTGAACATTTGGGGTGTCAAATGACATAACAGTTACCCATGGTGGATAGTGTTTGGTGGAGCTCCCAGTTTAAGACAGGTTTGGAAGCAGGAGTGTCATCCACTTCCTAAACAACATGCCTCCAGAAAATTTATGAACTTTGATAAATGTTGATAGTTATAAAAAGGCTTCAGGCCTTTTGTTCATAGGGTCACTGCGTCATGATCAAACCAAAGACAATCAACAACAGCATAGTTTATTATTTTAAAAGAATACTTTGGAGTAATTTTAGGTGATTTTTTTTAATTAAAGCTTAATCCTAAACCTAATTCACTACTATTGAGTCAGTTTTGACACATGACAACCTTCCATCAGGTCTCCTAGCTGCATGTCTCCTGAAGCAGAAGAGTGCCTCATCTGTCTCCTGGAATCAAACTGTTGACTTTTGCACTGTTAGCTAAAAACTTAACCTACTATACCACTATAGTGACTTTTTAAAATTTTTTTTTAAATTTTTATTAATTTTTGTGCATGTACCATCAAATCAGATCTGACTGGTACAGGAGGAGATTGCCCCTCCTTCTCCAGCAGAGCATCTGGTGGATTCAAACCGCGTGCCTCTGAGATTGCAGTGCAGCTTCTTGCCACTAGGCTACCAGAGCTCCCTCATAGGGACTTTTTTAAGCTTCAAAAGTAATTTTAATAAAAACAAAGCAATATTTTCAAGTCATTAGTATTATGGAATAAGTTAATGAGTTCATCAGTTTATAACCTATAACTCAAGAAAAATGGATTCTAGGTAGCCTCTTGGATCATGCAACAACAAAGTGGTCCTAGTCCTTAAGGGGCCATGACACCAAGGGTGAGTTGGATGTAGTAAGTGCCTTGGGCCCTATCCACTTTGGGGCTTTGACATACTTTGAGATCTTTGAACAATGAAAATTCTTTGGAAGTAGGGAAGACCAGGAATGACAGGGATTACATTTTGCTTACAAATTGTTGGAAAGTAGAGTAAGAATAATAACTGCACTATTGAAAATGAAATTTTGTTTGATTTTTTATTTTCTCCTTACAAAACAGATTTTGTAGTCTCAATACCTCTTAAAATAATTTCAAAAACATTTGTCAGTGAAGTCTAAGACTCACACTTACTCTGTGTTTAAGGAAAAAAAGAATTCAGTTGAAGATTTGATGCCTGTGAAATGTGGCCTGTCACGGATGTTGTTTGTGTAGTTATTGAGTCCATTACAGCTTAAAATGTCCCTGTGAACAGCATATCAGAACCTTGCTCTACTCTTTACTGCCTTCATGACCTTCTCCGAACTCAAACCTGTTGTTACAGTCACTGTGTCAATCAATCTGTTGAAAATCTTCCTTCCTTTCTCTGACTCTCTTTTTTTTTCAGCATGATCCCTTTTTCAAGAACTGGTCCCTCCTGACAACATCGATCTCCTCGTAACAACATTTTATGTAAGAAAAGTGTCACCATCCTTGCCTACAAGGAGGACCCTGGTTGCACTTCCTCAAAGTTAGCTGTATGAGCTCTTTTAGCAGTTTCTGCTATATTTTATATACTTCATTGCTGATTAATTTTATAAAAGTTAATGAATAAGAATAATTGTAAGAAACACTATGTGAGTGAAGGGCCATGTGAAACAAAATGGACATAAACTTTGTAAGCCAACCAACATATTTTTTTCAAAAAACAAAATAAGAACAAAAAAGGCATCAATTTTCCAGTCTTCCTTCTTCCTTGTTCAACTTTCAGGTAGAAGGGAAACAACTGGAAGTACCATGGCTTGAATCAGGTGTACCTTAACTTTGAAACTGATGTTTTTGCTCTTTAGAACTTGGATGATGAGTTCCTTGATAGTACGTTTTGCTAATGCAGCAGGTCTTTTAATTTTTTTATTTGTGGCCTACTGGCAATAAGCTGTACTGCAATGCTGAAGGTGTGCTTCATGAGAAAAGGGTGGGCAATCTTTGCTTGTGCAATTAACTGCCTCTGAAAACCCACCAGAGGGCCAGCTATTGGTCGGTTCCAATTTAACGGTACATAACAACTACTACCATGAATGAGTGTTGATTGTGGATCCAAGTAAAATGAAATTGTTAACAACTTCAATCATTCCTCCATCTCTCATGACATTGCCTATTGGCCCAATGATGACAATTTTGTTTACTTGATATTGAGATGTAATCCATATTGAAGGTTGTAATCTTTGATCTTCAGTAAGTGTTTCAAGTTGTCTTCACTTTCAACAAGGTTGTGTCATCTGCATAATGCAGGTTGTTGATGAGTCTTCCTCCAATTCTAATACTATATTCTTTATAAAGTCCAACTTCGCAAATTATTTTCTCAGTATACAGATTGAATATGTATATTCATATGTGGAATGGACACAACCCTGAGGTACAATACTTCTGATTTTAATCTTTTCAGTATTCTCTCTGGACAACTGCTGGAAGTGTTTATAACAAAGAATATTGAACATACCAAGATTTGTCAAAAGAACAAAGAAATCAGTCTTAGAAGACATGCAACCAGAGAACGCTTCCCACATATTTTAGTTATCTTCATTGGGAACACCTAATGTCAGAAAAAGTATAATGTTTGAGAAAGCAAAGGACCAATGAAAAGGAAGGAAACCTTCAATGGATTGATTAACACAATAGCCACAACAATGAACTAAAACAAACCCATTATCAAGCAAGTTACACAAGATCAGCAATAATTCGTTCTGTTATGCATAAGATCCTCTTGAATTGGAGCCACCAATGACTAACAATAGCAACTGTGTGACTTGGTTAGATTTGGGTTGTGGAAGTAAAGGAAGAATAAGATGTCATGGCAAATAACTCTCTATTTTTAGGGCCTAAACTAAGACTTTGAACTTATATTTATACTTTCTAAACATGGTCTTATCCTGAAATAATGTCATTGCCTGTTTCAATAACCATGAATTAAAATGATATTAATATAAAAATGATAGCCTTAAATGATCTAGAGTATGTCACTTTAAATCAGCATTT